GATTCTGGATGATAGCTGCAAAGCAACGCTTTCCAAACAGTGAAGGAATTTGCAGAGAACACGGTTTGAGTTCATGCTCAAATCCTGGGTGACCTTAAGCAAGTCACACACTCTCAGCTTCAGAAACTTCCATGGATGCAGAGGCCATACGTTCGAAATGACTTCAAGACACAAAAGAACAACAATGTATTTTGCAATGGCATGACCACAACAACAACAACAACAACAACAACAACAACAACAACAACAATCAGGATTGAAGAGAAACAATTGGAAAACCTGACACGATATGAGGATTTAAAGAGTGCAAAGGGTGGCACAAGTCAGTCAAGGTGGGCCCAGTGGTGATCAGCACACTGGGTGCAGTGCCTCAAGACCTTGGCCTGCACTTAAACACAATCAGCGCTGACAAAATTATCATCTGCCAGCTGCAGAAGGCCACCTTACTGGGATCTACACGCATTATTTGCCGATATATCATACAGTCCTAGACACTTGGGAAGTGTCCGATGTGTGATCCAATACAACAGCCAGCAGAGTGATCTTGTCTGCTGTGGACTCATCTTGTTGGGTTTCAAATAATATCCTTGACTACTGCAACGCTCTCTACGTGGGGCTGCCCTTGAAGACGGCCCGGAAGCTTCAGCTAGTTCAGCGCGCAGCAGCCATGTTACTAACGGGAGCGGGACGCAGGGAGCATACAACGCCCTTGTTGTCCCAGCTCCACTGGCTGCCGATCTGCTACCGGGCCCAATTTAAGGTGCTGGTGTTATCCTACAAAGCCCTAAACGGTTCCGGCCCAAAATACCTTTCGGACCGCATCTCGGCCTATGAGCCCACGAGGCCTTGAGATCGTCTGGGGAGGCCCTTCTCTCGATCCCGCCTGCCTCACAGGCACGTCTGGCGGGGACGAAAGAGAGGGCCTTCTCAGTGGTGGCCCCCCGGCTGTGGAACACCCTCCCTGTTGACATCCGACAGGCGCCCTCTCTTATGGCCTTCCGTAAGAGCCTAAAGACCTGGCTCTTCGAGAGGGCATTTAACTAAGTGCCAGACTAACTGATAATGACAATCGGAATGGAATATGGATTATGAGACTGGTAGGTTCCTATGTTGTGACGGTGCGGATTAGTTAGTATAATTTAGATTAATGTGTAATTATGGCTTGTTGATGTACTGTGTGTTTTTTGTAAACTGTTTTTATATGTTGTACACCGCCGCGAGTCGCCCTAGGGCTGAGAGCGGCGGTCAACAAATGCATTAAATAAATAATAAATAAATAATAGAAAATAATAATAATAATAATAATAACGGAAACAAACTTGATTTAAAAAGTCTACCAGCAACTGCTGAGATGGGAAACAGAAGAGGAACAGGTGAAGGAAGTAATTGGGCAAGAGACATAGGAAGAAAAATCACTTTGTCAGAATGGGAAGATATGGGATAAAAAAAATTAAAACTAACATACTCCACAGAGTTCAGAGAAAACTGGTACAAGATATTCTATAGGTGGTATCTTACACCAGAAAAGTTATCAACAAAGGAAGAACAAGTAATAAGTGCTGGAAATGCGGGAAAGAAGTCGGAACATTCATCCATGTATGGTGGAAATGCAAAAAAACTAAATCCTTCTGGCGGGAGATTCATAAAAAGATGGAATTAATTTTACAAATAAAATTTTATTTCAAGCCGGAGTATTTCCTATTGGGCTTAACTGACTTTGAAATGGAAATTAACACAAATAAAATTTTTACTTACTTTATAACAGCAGCCAGGATTAAATTTGCACAATTATGAATTCCTCTAGAACAGTGGTTCTTAACCTTCCTAATGCTGCGACCCCTTAATACAGTTCCTCATGTTGTGGTGACCCCCAACCATACTGTCGTTGCTACTACATAACAGTAATTTTGCTCCTGTTATGAATCGTCATGTAAATATCTGAGATGCAGGATGTATTCACTGGACCAAAGTATTGATATGTCATTTGGGAGTTGTAGTTGCTTGGATTTATAGTTCACCTACAATCAAAGAGCATTCCAAACTCCACCAACGATGGAATTGAACCAAACTTGGCACACAGAACTCCCATGACCAACAGAAAATACTGGAAGGGTTTGGTGGGCATTGACCTTGACTTTTGGAGTTGTAGTTCACCTACATCCAGAGAGCACTGTGGACTCAAACAATGATGGATCTGGACCAAACTTGCACAAGCATATGCCCAAATGTGAACACTGGTGGAGTTTGGGGAAAATAGACCTTGACTTTTGGGAGTTGTAGTTGCTGGGATTTATAGTTCACCTACAATCAAAGAGCATTCTGGACTCCACCAATGATGGAATTGAACCAAACTTCCCACACAGAACCCCCATGACCAACATAAAATACTGTGTTTTCTGATGGTCTTTGGTGACCCTTCTGATGCCCCGTCGCGACCCCCCCAGGGGTCCCGACCCCCAGGTTGAGAAACACTGCTCTAGAACATGGCCGTATAGCCCGAAAAAACCTACAACAACTCGAAAATAGTATTTGTTTTCTAGTAATGTTCTTTTCTGCCCAATGAAAAAAACACAGTAATTATGAGTGTATCTACACTGCTAGGATTAATGTAGTTCGAGACCCTTTTAACTGCCATAGCTCAATGATGTGGAATCCTGTGAGTTGTAGTTTTACACAGCCTTACGTTTGGATGTGTGTGCATCACCAAGCTACAATGCTAGGACTGGATTGCATGGAGCCATGGCTATTGGGACTGAGGCATCTACGCTACAGAATTGATGCAGTTTGAGACCACTTGAGCTGCCTTGGGAGCAATACATGGAAGCAGTACAAAGGGGGACCTGGGAGGAAGTCAGCTTTGCTTGCAAACGTTGGCTCTGCTCTTTTTCTTTGCAAAGTGAGGTTTGCAGGCTTTGCAAATACCTTGAGAGGAAACGATACGTCTCTTGGAGGAAGATGCAGCCCCTTCCAAAGCCATCTCTAAGTTCACTTTCTCTGTTCCATTGTATCTGCTCTTTCCTTCATGTTGGCACTGAAAATCCTAAAATCCCTTCCAATTGCGCTCCTTTGTTGCATTCTCTGCTACAGATGGGAAGAACGTTCAAAACATGGTTACAAAATGTGCCCTTCGAGAAAATGTTGTTTTTCTGTTGCTCTGCTGCGAAATGAATGCAGTTGGGCATCACTTTAAGCTGCCATAGATCTCTGCTACAGAGTCCTGGGAATTGTAGTCTCACAATGCCTTCTCCGCAGTTAAACTGGAGCAAAACCACATTCATTCTACAGTATTTTATTTATTTCTCGTGTCAGGGCAGCCAGTCAATTATATTACATTTCTAACAGAACAAAGCAAACAAACAGAGAAAATACAAAATGTGTGAGTTTGGTAGTTGATTAAATGTCCTTTGACCAGTATCTGGCCACTTGGAGTGCTTCTGGTGTTGCTGCAAGAAGGTCCTCCCTTGTGCATGTGGCAGGGCTCAGGTTGCATTGCAGCAGGTGGTCAGTGGTTTGCTCCTCTCCGCACACGCATGTCGAGGATTCCACTTTGTGGCCCCATTTCTGAAGGTTGGCTCTGCATCTCGTGGTGCCAGAGCGCAGTCTGTTCAGCGCCTTCCAAGTCGCCCAGTCTTCTGTGTGCCCAGGGGGGAGTCTCTCATCTGGTATCAGCCATTGATTGAGGTTCTGGGTTTGAGCCTGCCACTTTTGGACTCTCGCTTGCTGAGGTGTTCCAGTGAGTGTCTCTGTAGATCTTAGAAAACTATTTCTTGATTTAAGTCGTTGACGTGCTGGCTGATACCCAAACGGGATGATCTGGAGATGTCTCTGCCTTGGTCCTTTCACTATTGGCTGCCACTTCCCGGCAGATGTCAGGTGGTGCAATACCGGCTAAGCAGTGTAATTTCTCCAGTGGTGTAGGGCGCAGACACCCCGTGATAATGCGGCATGTCTCATTAAGAGCCACATCCACTGTTTTAGTGTGGTGAGATGTATTCCACACTGGCATGCATACTCAGCAGCAGAGTAGCATAGCGCAAGGGCAGATGTCTTCACTGTGTCTGGTTGTGATCCCCAGGTTGTGCCAGTCAGCTTTCGTATGATATTGTTTCTAGCACCCACTTTTTGCTTGATGTTCAGGCAGTGCTTCTTGTAGGTCAGAGCACAGTCCAGAGTGACTCCCAGGTACTTGGGTGCGCTGCAATGCTCCAGTGTGATTCCTTCCCAGGTGATCTTCAGAGCTCAGGATGCTTCTCTGTTCTTGAGATGAAAGGCACATGTCTGTGTTTTAGTTGGGTTGGGGATCAGCTGGTTTTCCCTGTAATAGGCAGTAAGAGCACCTAGAGCTTCGGAGAGCTTCTGTTCTACCATCTCAAAGCTCCCTGCTTGAGCAGTAATGGCACGATCATCAGCATAGATGAAATTCTACAGTGCAAATGAACCTGTAGTTATTAGATTTCATGGGGTTTTAAGACCAGGAATACTCAGAATGGATTTGGCTAGTTCCTTCCACTGAATAAAACATGTAGCATCTGTCTGCATTTATTTGGCGGTCTCCCAGTTCTAATAATTTATAGCATGGGCAAACTTGGGCCCTCCCTCCAGGTGTTTTGGACTTCATAGAATCCAAGAGTTGGAAAAGACCGTGGGCCATCCAATCCAACCCAATTCTGCCAAGCAACAGGAAAATCACATTCAAAGCACCCCCAACAGATGGTCATCCAGCCTCTGCTCAAAAGCCTCCACTCTAGGGCAGAGAGTTCCACTGCTGAACAGCTCTCACAGTCAGGAAGTTCTTCCTAATGTCCAGATGGAATCTCCTTTCTTTCCCGTAGTTTGAAGACATTGTTCCATTGTGTCCTAGTCTCCAGGGCAGCAGAAAACAGGCTTGCTCCCTCCTCCCTATGACTTGGAAGTTAGACTAGATGGCCTTTGGGGGTCCCTTCTGTTCTGTGATTCTGTAATGTGGTCCCTCACCTCTCCTCTGGGGTCTCTCTCTGCAGACTTTCCGGTGGCCCATTGCGAGCAGCATCGACGTCAACGAGATGCTGGAAATCCAGGTCTTCAACTACAGCAAGGTGTTCTCCAACAGGTGAGTGACAGATAACCTTTGGAAAGTGTCTAATCATGTTACGCATTTTTCCCCCAACTGTTCCATGCATCTTCATCCATATATGTGAGCCTATGCATGGAGATAATATAGTTTGGGCTCTGGTTTGAGCATGCTTCAGGTAAAGATGGTCCTCTGGGGCATTTGCTATCTCTTTCCATTTGGTGCCATTTGCAAATTGGATGGAATTGCACTGGTTAGCTGCAGCTATATTGAACTAAATCAGTTCTACGATTCCTTGAATCAACCACAGAATGCTGAGTCAACAAACAGGAGAAAGTATTGTCAAAGGTTTTCATGGCTGGAATCACTCAGTTCTTGTGGGTTTTTTTCGGGCTATATGGCCATGTTCTAGAGGCATTTTTCCTGACGTTTTGCCTGCATCTATGGCAAGCATCCTCAGAGGTGAGGTCTGCTGGAACTGGAAAAAAAGGGGTTTATATATCTGTGGAATGACCAGGGTGAGACAAAGGGCTTTTGTAAGTTGGGCTGGGTGTGAATCTTTCAACTGACCACCTTGATTAGCATACAATGGGCTGACTGTGCCTGGAGCAAGCTCTTCTTGAAAGGTGATTAGATGTCCCTGCCTGTTTCCCCTCTGCTGTTTTTGCTGTTGCAATTTTAGAATTTTTTTAATACTGGTAGCCAGATTTTGTTCATTTTCATGGTTTCCTCCTTTCTGATGAAATTGTCCACATGCTTGTGGATGTCAATGGCTTCTCTGTGTAGCCTGACATGGTGGTTGTGAGAGTGGTCCAGCATTTTTGTGTTCTCAAATAATACTATGCTGTGTCCAGGCTGGTTCATCAGGTGCTCTGCTATGGCTGGTTTCTCTGGTTGGAGTAGTCTGCAGTGCCTTTCATGTTCCTGGATTCGTGTTTGGGCAATGCTGCGTTTGGTGGTCCCTATGTAGACTTGTCCACAGCTGCATGGTATACGGTAAACAGGAGAAATCTGATTGGTTCAGGCCACTTCTAGACTGTCATATAGTCCAGTTTTGTTGTATGTCAGTGATTGTGTCTGATGTTCATACTGATGTTCATGATGGGAATGGGGATGCTCCTCCTGATAGTGGGCCAGGGTCTGCTGGCATTGGGGATGAGGGTTCACTTGGCCCTGAGTTAAGTTCAGACAAGAGGCCCAAGCAGTCTCAGGAAGATTCACAAGGCCACATTCTTGAGAGAGGCCCTTGTATTTTATTTTACTGTATTGTATTTTTGGGCTTGGCCTCATGTTATCCACACCAAAACCCTCTTCATCTTGGAAAGAAGTGACGAGTGGAGTGCCGCAGGGTTCCGTCCTGGGCCCGATCCTGTTCAACATCTTTATTAATGACTTAGATGAAGGGCTAGAAGGCAGGATCATCAAGTTTGCAGACGACACCAAATTGGGAGGGAGAGCCAATACTCCAGAGGACAGGAGCAGGATTCAAAACGATCTTGACAGGTTAGAGAGATGAATGGCCAAAACTAACAAAATGAAGTTCAACAGGGACAAATGCAAGATACTCCACTTAGGCAGAAAAAACGAAATGCAAAGATACAGAATGGGGCCAATGTCTGGCTCGAGAGCAGTACGTGTGAAAGATCTTGGAGTCCTCATGGACAACAAGTTAAACATGAGCCAACAATGTGATGTGGCGGCAAAAAGCCAATGGGATTTTGGCCTGCATCAATAGGAGCATAGTGTCTAGATCTAGGGAAGTAATGCTACCCCTCTATTCTGCTTTGGTTAGACCACACCTGGAATATTGTGTCCAATTCTGGGCACCACAATTCAAGAAAGATATTGACAAGCTGGAATGTGTCCAGAGGAGGGCGACTAAAATGATCAAGGGTCTGGAGAACAAGCCCTATGAGGAGCGGCTTAAGGAGCTGGGCATGTTTAGCCTGAAGAAGAGAAGGCTGAGAGGAGATATGATAGCCATGTATAAATATGTGAGAGGAAGCCACAGGGAGGAGGGAGCAAGCTTGTTTTCTGCTTCCTTGGAGACTAGGACGCGGAACAATGCTTCAAACTACAAGAGAGGAGATTCCATCTGAACATGAGGAAGAACTTCCTGACTGTGAGAGCCGTTCAGCAGTGGAACTCTCTCTCTGCCCCGGAGTGTGGTGGAGGCTCCTTCTTTGGAAGCTTTTAAACAGAGGCTGGATGGCCATCTGTCAGGGGTGATTTGAATGCAATATTCCTGCTTCTTGGCAGAAGGGGTTGGACTGGATGGCCCATGAGGTCTCTTCCAACTCTTTGATTCTATGATTCTATGATTCTATGATGATGATGATGATGATGATGATGATGATGATGATGATGATGATTATAGATAGGGCCTCATTGAGTTTACCCAACTCTGAGTGCATCTACACTCGAATGAATGCCATTTGAAACCACTGCCATGACACAATGCTATGAAATCATAGGTGTTCTAGTTCTCCAAGGTCTATCCTTCTTCACCAAAGAGTGCTGAGGCCTCACCAAACTACTGATCCCATGTTTCCATAGCATTCATTGAGCAAAGGCAGCTAAAGTGGGGTCAAACTGCATTGATGCTCCACTTTACATGCAGCTTGACAGCTAACAACGCGATTCAAGCCCCAGAGGGGAAGTGCTGATCCTCCATATGACTTTCATTTGAGATATAAGCTCTCTTTTCAGTGTATTGGCGGGCCGTCGTAATGCAAATCTGGAACGAATTCTCAGTCTTACACTCAGGGCTTGCTCCTTTCTGTCTTCCTTGGCTCCTCCGCTCCCCCGGAGATCCTGTTTCATTAAACAGACATAAAAAATGAACCATATTCATGATTTCTTTTCGGTAAAATATGGAGGCAGATGGTTCCTCTTGGGGTGAAAGAGAGAGAGATGCTAAATTTGCATAATTTGCATTAAGGAATAAATTGAACTCTCCACATTTTACTTTAAGAGAAGCACCGGGAGGAGTTCGGAAGGAATTTGATGGTTCAGTACATCCGCAGGCGCTTCGACTTGTGTGGGGGTCCTTAAGGTTGTAGCACCACCCTCATACCATAATAATATTAGTAATTATAGTTATGATATCAGTACAATTGAGGTTCCAAGATCAATTGGATAGATGCTTTGGGAGAACCATCATGCGCAGTGTCATAATATTTAAATGAAATTGCTAGAGATACAATCACAATGAGACTCAGCCTGTTGTTGTTGATGATGATGATGATGTCACTGAACATCGAGAAAACCAAAGTGCTGTTCCATCAGTCACCAGCCATCCTCTCCCCAATGCCAGAGATACAGCTTAATGGTGTAACATTAGAAAATGTGGACCATTTTCGCTCCCTTGGCAGCCACCTCTCCACCAAAGTCAACATCGCCACTGAAATACAACACCGCCTGAGCTCTGCGAGTGCAGCATTTTCCCGAATGAAGCAGAGAGAGTTTGAGGACCGGGACATCCGTAGGGACACCAAGGTGCATGTCTATAAAGCTATTGTCCTCCCAACCCTGCTCTATGCCTGCGAAACATGGACTGTCTACAGACGTCACATGCAATTCCTGGAACGATTCCATCAGCGCTACCTACGGAAAATCCTGCAAATCTCCTGGGAAGACAAGCGGACAAACGTCAGCATGCTGGAAGAAGCAAAGACCACCAGCATTGAAGCGATGGTCCTCTGCCATCAACTATGCTGGGCCGGCCACATCGTCCGGATGACCGACCACCATCTCCCAAAGCAGTTGCTCTACTCTGAACTTAAGAACGGAAAACAGAACATTGGTGGACAGGAAAAGAGATTGAAAGATGGGCTCAAAGCCAACCTTAAAATCTCTGGCATAGACACTGAGAACTGGAAAGCCCTGGCCCTTGCGTGCTCTAACTGGAGGTCAGCTGTGACCAGCAATGTTGCAGAATTCGAGGAGGCACGAGTGGAGGGTGAAAGAGGAGGAAGGTGCCAGGAGGAAGGTGCATCAAGCCAACCCCAACCGGGACCGCCTTCCACCTGGAAACCAATGCCTTCACTGTGGGAGAAGATGCGGGTCAAGAACAGGGCTCCACAGCCACCTACGAATCCACGAGGAAACCCATCATGAAAGACCATCTTACTCGTCCAACGAGGGATTGCCTAAGAAGAAAGAAGAGATGATGATGATGATGAGAAAGAGCATCCTACATATGGCTTTACTACTGAATGGTATAATAATGACATTGTTCTACAATGGAGGCCCCTTCTACATTGCCATGTAATCTACATTGTTTATTTTTATTTCTCGTGTCAGGGCAGCCAGTCAATTGTATTACATTTCTAACAGAACAAAGCAAACAAACAGAGAAAATACAAAATGTGTGAGTTTGGTAGTTGATTAAATGTCCTTTGACCAGTATCTGGTCACTTGGAGTGCCTCTGGTGTTGCTGCAAGAAGGTCCTCCATTGTGCATGTGGCAGGGCTCAGGTTGCATTGCAGCAGGTGGTCAGTGGTTTGCTCTTCTCCACACTCGCATGTCGAGGATTCCACTTTGTGGCCCCATTTCTGAAGGTTGGCTCTGCATCTCGTGGTGCCAGAGCACAGTCTGTTCAGCGCCTTCCAAGTCGCCCAGTCCTCTGTGTGCCCAGGGGGAGTCTCTCATTTGGTATCAGCCATTGGTTGAGTTTCTGGGTTTGAGCCTGCCACTTTTGGACTCTCGCTTGCTGAGGTGTTCCAGCGAGTATCTCTGTAGATCTTAGAAAACTATTTCTAGATTTAAGTCATTGACGTGCTGGCTGATACCCAAACAGGGGATGAGCTGGAGATGTCTCTGCCTTGGTCCTTTCACTATTGGCTGCTACTTCCCGGCGGATGTCAGGTGGTGCGATACTGGCTAGACAGTGTAATTTCTCCAGTGGTGTAGGGCGCAGACACCCCGTGATAATGCGGCATGTCTCATTAAGAGCCACGTCCACTGTTTTAGCGTGGTGAGATGTGTTCCACACTGGGCATGCATACTCAGCAGCAGAGTAGCACAGCGCAAGGGC